ACCTTTTGCTACAGACTTCTTCATTGATTGAATCTTACATTGCATGTCTTTTTTCTCATTTCTATGTCTTTGCAAAATGTCATCTTTAGTTTCGACGTTTACTGATTCCATTTAGCACTAGATATATAGTATGTTACTTTTATAATATAGATCACCATAACATTTAAATTGTAAAAAATAATTTCTCATAGAACAAATATCTAACATCTTAAAATACCTATCATATTTAATTATATTTCAATTTTCAATTAGGGCTGGGCTTTAACTTAGCCAATATTTATACTTCTCATTATATTTAATATGATTAAATATACAAATGCAAATTTAATAATCCAATAAATATGAAATTATCAATAAATTGTAGTCCACGTGGCTGCTAATGTATTCTTATAGTTATAAAATATAAAGGAATTCTATTTAAATTTTAAAACATAATAAATTGACATTTTTAAGCACAATAGGACAAAGAATAAACTAAATATTAAATAAATATTTTAAAAACTATTAAAAAATTATGCTTAAATTGATAAGTATAAAAAATTGTATCAAAAAACAACAGTATTGATAGGGTAAATACCTATATAAATAAAATTTTTATGTTTAGAACTCTTTTAGAACCATTATTATATTTTAAATCAGTAACACATTATGTCATACTAAAAAATGATTTTCAACTATTTAATTTTAAATAAAGGTTGTCAATGAATATATTTTTTTATCAGTCAAGTGGACTTTAACTAAATTGAATCATTATCATTTACCAAATTATTTTTGTTATTTTGTATTATGTACAACAAACAATTTATACTTATATTACTTTATATTAAATTTTTAAAAATTTATTGGATTATTATCTCTACTAGTTTATTTAACAAAACTATAAATAATTTAAGACACTTGAACAATATAATTTTTTATTTGTGTTACTCGAGCTTAATACTTAGAAAATACTTATATTATTATAGGCACATTTTTAAACATAGGTACAAGGGATATGGAAATATCTGGATACCAAGATTAAAACAAAGTAACCTTTATTTTAAAAACTAAGATTTAAAATTTTTTTTATTTGATTTTAAAATAAAACTTTCTAAATAATGTAAAATTAATTTTCCAATTTATATAAATATAGAAATGTATTATTTAGTAGGTACCTATTTATTTTAAAATACTTTTAGAATATTTATAGTATAACAAAGATATCTGTAAATACAAATTTTATTTTTTTCAATACTAAAATAAGATTTGGAAATATGGATAGTTTATGTTTTATTCTAGCATATAAATATTAGATTGAACACAAAAATAATATTTTTGAAAACACTTATACCAAATATGATATATATACATAAAGCTTCATTAAAATAAAAACTAAATAATCCAACTATTAAATAACATTATATTTATAAACCAACATTTTCTTAAATACTATCTGTATTATCTGACTATTGCAGAGTTAAAATTAATCTATATTTTTATCGTTTTCTACTTTTTTTTTTCAGTTGAAATATATAACATAGACATAATCATAATGATTAATTTTATAATTTTCTACTTGTTAATTCTGGACATATTCTTTATGTTAACATAAAAAAACGGGAGACAGATTCAACAAATGCTGATGTTTATATCAAAAACATGACCAGAATTAAGAAAATAAATCATAATTGTAATTAATTATTAAAGTAATCTTTGTAATTGTGATCATTAAAGTATTTAAATTTAAGATTTAAAAATTTAAAAATATTTTTAAATATATAATTATTAAATATTTAATCATGTATTTTTACTTATTTCAATCTATAACTAATGACAAAAATTTCAATAAATTAAAAAATATATGATTTATGAGAGCCAAAACTGAGTTCATGAATAATCCACCATATATGGGAAGGGGTCAAAAAATAAGCTACAAACACCCTCAAAGTCTTGATAAATTTATTAATAAATAACTTTTATTGAAAATGGTTCAATAATATTTAAAGCTATAGAGAACAAAAAAACATTAATTTATACATCTACATAGATATACATATATGTTATATAGATATTAAATATATATACATATAAGTTATTACTTATTATTATGATATAATAACATCAAATATAATATTTTTTAATTACTTAACTAGATTTTGATATCAGATATTAAGTAATTATTAATTTAACATTAACTACCTATACAAATTTAATAGACTTTTTAATCAGTATCAAGTATAATATTTAACAAGTCTTCTATTTTCTATTGAAAGAATAATAAGTATAACACCTTCTTAAAAACCAATAAATCTATTTTATTATTTAAAATGTGGTTCTTAATCTGTTTTGAAAATAATGGAAATCTTTATAAAATGCTCGATAAAATGTTTGCATATTATAACCACAAGATAAAACAGTAGTTAAATATATATATATTATTTAAATTGCATAATTAATTTAAAATTACATAGACATAGTCTTTAAAGAATAGGATATAATGTAGCTAAGACAAAATTAGAAATTTTTACAGTATGTAAACAATTTTTTTTTCATTAATTTTAAAATTTTGGTGGATTTTTTGTGAAGTTTATGGATCATTTGTCTTCTATGAAACACCGGTTAAGAACCACTGATCTAAATCATAATGAATAATCATTATTACCATTGTAAACCTTATTTCTATTTCAAAATTACGAATGAATGATGGCCCAGCCCTAATAAAATCCCATATACAATTCATTATCTTTATAATATATTACTATATACTTACACGAATAATTGTACAATTGAACAGTGAAAAAGTTGACATAATTCAACTTAATCCAATGACGGATATAATATTATTAAAATAACATTTTTACTTGAAGAGTTGTCTTATTCAATTTATGTGTTAGAACAAAATTAAAAAACTTAGATTTCGTAAAATGTGGATTACAATTTAGATAAATACGTAAAACATTTAAATCGACAATAAGGTACCTTCACACTTCACAGTTTTTTTTTTTTTTTTACAACGTTGTAGGTAAGTACAAAATATCATTAAACATAGTGACACTTCTATTATTCATTAAATATAGGTATATTAATACATTAAATTATATATTATACCACAGAATATACTATACATAAGCAGACGAGTTAGTGGAGTACGACACACAGTATACAAAGTACAAACACACTACACAACCACAGTCAACCGTAATGATTCAGTCGAAAACTCAATTTGTTATGATAACAGAGTTAACAGTGTACCTAATACCTATGCACTTCCTATAAACTCCTACCAGGTAACCAGACGGCAAACAGACTAAACAGTACTGCTCCTTCCTTCAACTTACTGTGGTCACTGGTTTGTAAACAGTGTAAACATAAATAATGATCAGACATTGTTCACAGATATTAGACATTAGACAATCTATATAATAAATTTTTATCCAAAAATTAAAATGCAACACTAATATTAATATATTTTAATCCGTGATTCTATCTATAAATTCCATCTTTTATAAACCTCTATTATGAATCACAATTTTTTTGCGGGCTTTGACTATTATTCTGTTCGGCAATAATGGTAAATGTCGTTATTAATTTTAATTATAAGACGTGTATTTCAAAAATCTTTGATTAATATTTGAAAATATTTAGAACTTTTGTGTTATGAACATACATAAAAATGTAATACCATAACAGGTTTTAAGTACATTTCAAAGAAATTGTAAAAGCATAGCACAAATCATAATTATTCTTGTAATAAATTGAGACTACCGAGGTTCACGAGTAACCGCAGTCATAGATAACAGTATAGTACCATCAATCTAATATATATCAAGGTGTATTTATAAATTTGGTTTAGACTGTTTAGAGCTTAAAAGTTGAAACCATAATCCATATTGTTCTATAATAACAATGTATTAATAAATCATGGCTGATGAATTTTATGATTCAAATTTTAAATAACCATTGTTTTAGCCATGATTTGTTGTGGCGCCAGAATTTTTTTCGTATATGTGGGTAATAATCTTAAATCATAATGGTCCAAGCCAACATTTATTATAATTTATAAGGTTGAGCCATGTGGAAAAAAATCTCAGATGTACATCAAAAAGAAAAACAATTTTTACGAGCAATTATTCTATTTTTTTTACTTAGTAAAGAAATAGCTCATGTTTTTTTTCTGAGCATATTTTTTTGAATAAAATAAAACAAGGTGTACTATTACACTGCACATCAACAAGAAATGCGTTGCATGTCATTAAACCACTACTTAGGTTAATAATTAAAAATACGATTACAATGAAAATTAATTTTGAAAATTATGTAATAACTATATAATGAATTATAATATACAAGGTAATTCACCTAACATGCTCATTCCCATTTTATTTAATAACACAGTTATTAAAAATCTGACTTGTAATTTTTAAATGTCATTAAACTCATTAAAGATCTTTTATTCGAATATGAACAGAAGGAGGATTTCAACAATTCAAATTCAACTATAAATAAATAATTTGTTATGCTTTGCGTTTATATGACGGAGACACCGTATATATGGCGTACATTTAAAACTTTTAAATTTTATCAAATTACAATTGTATATTACATTATAAATTATAATTTTATCATAAACATTATAATAAAGTGCATTATATTATGTAAGAAAAGAATATTCAATATTCATTATACCTAGCTGATAATATTATAGTGCTTGAAGCTTGAACAATATCAATGATATCTACTATCTGTAGTATAAACATTGTTATCATTGTTTAAAATAAGCAAATGCACAGTTAAGTTACTTATAATCTCTATTCAAATTAATGCTTCAAAAGTTCAAAAAAGTTTATACTAAATTCTAATACTTAAATTTAAAGGCTGAAAACAAATTTTAGTACTTAATTCTCATATCTTATTATTCAAAAGTCTATCTAGCTCTCATTGTTTTATTACAAAATGTATAACTATGACATACATTTTCACTGTGGATAATGTTTAAGAGTAAAATGACAAATAATTTTTACATGTTTTATTTATTGTCCCAAATACTTAAAGAAATATATTATATAAAATAGTAGCTGTTTAATAATTTGTTTATAAGTTATCATTCATAAATAAGGATAATAAGGTAGGTAATTGTTTTTAATATAAATTCTGTACAGGTAGTACCTATGTATTTAGTATGTAAACAGAAAATTTTCTTTAGAAATGTATTAGGTACTTGGTAACAGTGACAGTTGTGACACTATTGATGGCCAAGTTTCTTATTTAATTGTGACTGGTTACAAATTACACCAAAATTGTGTATTTAATTATTTCTTAAAATAAAATATAAAATACAAGAAGTAATCTGAAAATTTGTAATTAGTTATTATTTGATTGATACTTGATTATCATTATTTTTTTTAAAAAAACAATGATACTACTAAATATTTATTTATATGAGGGTTCAAGAAAAAAATTAATAAGACCCTGAAGTTGATGACTCGAAAAAAAATATATTGGTCATAAAAATACCAAGATAAATAATACTTTTTCTAAATCATTTTTAAGAAAAATATAGTTAATCATTAATTATGTTTGAAAAATACAACTATTTTGTTAAATTAATAATTTTTATGTTATATATTTTTTTTATTTGTAATTTTGACAGAATAATAAATGAAAAAAAAAATTAATTTAGATAGATTACAAATTATGCATCTTTGATATATATAACTTCATTACCAAGTCTAATTGTACCATAAAATTAAAATAATTTTATTTAAATAGTAATTAAAAAAAATTAAAAATGTTATTGTTAAATAATTTTAAAAAAAAAAGTTGTTCTGAAAATATTAACTATATTTTATTTACAATTGGTGTTATTTTTTTTTCATAAGTTTTAAAATGTTATTTTACAGATGGAAAAGCAAAATAAAAGTCATGAAATTAAACACAATTTGAGAGCTAAAAGTCCTACAATTAAATCATCTTTACAAGATTGTAGTATACCATATAATACTTCAAATCCTCAAGGATTAAATCCAATTACAAAGGTATGAAATAGTAAAAAAAAACTATATTGCATATTTGCATATAATCTACATAAAATATTTATATTTATAACATACATATTATTTAACTGAACTTTTATCACAATTACTACAATTAAATCTTTTATGAAAATGGATCATATAAAATTGTATTATAGTAGGACTTTCTATAAAATGTTTGTTGTATTAGCTAAGTAAATATTCTATATTTAAACATCAAATTATCAAAAAAAAAAAACATGAAAAATTATACTGATTAGGAAATTATATAAATGTAAAGCTTTAAATTAAAAAGAATACTTAAAAAATAAATATGTTCTGATAAAATAACTTTACAAAAAAAAAAAATCACAAAAATAAAAGTCCACGTGAGCATCATGTAATTTTTATTACCCAATTATTAATAACAATACTAACATTTTGACTAATTTGAGCAAATTGCAAGTCACTTAATTTATATTGTTGGGTACATACCAATTTGTATCTAAGTCATGATAATTAAAAAAAAAATCAAAATAAAAAATACCTAGTAGGAGTATTAAAAAATATACAATAATCATTGATTATAAAATAAATAATAACGTTAAATACAGAAAAAGACTTTGGGCTGAAGTCTCACAATTGAAAGACATTAGTGGGTCATTATTACAATTTTTTATTATTATTTAATATTAATATGAATATAATTCAGGAAAATCAAGAAATAAAAGTCTTAACAGAATCAACTCCAAGTATTAACCAACCAAAAGTATTAAAGAAGTTGAATTTATTAAGTAATTTACAATCAACACCAAATACTCGGCATTTTAACAAATTAGAAATGGATTCAAGAATAATAATGAAGTAATATTTCTTTATTTACAATTTTTTTTAAATTTCTTACTCTGTCCAATCAGAGAACATGATTTTTTTTATGTTTCCCTATGTAATACTTTGCCATCAGGACCTGGCAAGATGTCTCATGAGATATAAAGAAAAACCGATTTTTGTCGCGTGTAGTATGTTTTCTCATTAGACAGATTATATCCTTAATTTGTTTCTAAATAAATTTTGTAAGTTATAATTAATATTTAAAAATTATTTTTCAGTCTCAGTCCAATAATGTCTACGTCTACTTTAAAACAAAACTTATATAATCATAAAGATATTTATCAACATAAATCACATACAGACATCGATTTTTCATTGGTAAATTTATGTTTATGCTTTATTTATTTATTTATTTTTTACTTTAAAATATTATCAATATACTATATTATACTTTTCTCAAATAGAATCCACTGAAATATCAGAATTCATCAAATCTTTGTAAAAGTCATGAATTAAACAAATGGAAAACAAACAAAACTATAATTGAACCAACTCATAAATGTAATACTGTCGATTCATTAACAAAATTATCTGAAAATACAAGACAAATAAATGAAAATAATAATAATGAAAAAGCTAAAAGATGCTTATTTGAAAAAGATAAAACAAATAGTTTGTCTAATTTAGAAACAGATCAAGATTCACTTAACATTTCTTTGGATATATTGGAACAAGTATGTCAAATGTCAGAAATTTTTGATGATAGTTTAACTGAGGAAGTAAAAAAAAGTGTTGATACTGATAAAAAAAAAAAATTAGCATTTTTTCTTTATGGAAATAATACACCTAAACTTGATGATACGGAGGAAGAAAACAAATTATTACAATTGGCATTAAGTATGGAAGATAATGTATTGGCTGAATCTAAATCAAAGAATAAATTATGTTTTGAAGGAGAATTTACCTCTTTAAATCAACTTAAAAATAAAGAAACAAACGTATCTAAATATGAAAGTGAACAATCTAAAAATAATAAGTTTAACACATATATTATAAGTGATTCAAAATGTAACTTTTTAGATCCTGAAGATATGAATGACATTGGAAATACACAGATGTGTGAAATAGCTGATATAACAGAACCATTAGAATCATTTGATGATCAGTGGTCACAACAGTATACTAGTAATGTATCTAATTTAAGCAATAATGTAAAAGAAAATAATTTCCATGAAGATTGTGAAGCAGTTATAAGCACATCATTAGATTTTATTAACCATAAGGTTAATTTAAAAAAAAGTAATTCATTAGATAACATTAATGAAAGATTAGAAATATTCCAATCAATCAGTAGAAATGAACTAAATGAATCTCCAATTGTGACTCAAGATGAAAACATAACAAATAATAAACTATGTAAAGGTTTCTCAACAGCTGGAGGTAAATCTATTAAAATTTCAGATACAGCTTTACAAAAAGTTCAAACTATGTTAAAAGATGAATTGAATGAATCATCAACAGCAACTAAAGATATAATTATTACAAAGACTAATATCTGTAAAGGTTTCTCAACAGCTGGAGGAAAATCTATTAAAGTATCAGATACAGCTTTAAAAAAAGTTCAAACTATGTTAAAAGATGAATTGAATGAATCATCAACAGCAACTAAAGATATAATTAATACAAAGACTAATATCTGTAAAGGTTTCTCAACAGCTGGAGGAAAATCGATTAAAGTATCAGATACAGCTTTACAAAAAATTCAAACTATGTTAAAAGATGAATTGAATGAATCATCAACAGCAACTAAAGATATAATTAATACAAAGACTAATATCTATAAAGGTTTCTCAACAGCTGGAGGAAAATCTATTAAAGTATCAGATACAGCTTTACAAAAAGTTCAAACTATGTTAAAAGATGAATTGAATGAATCATCAACAGCAACTAAAGATATAATTATTACAAAGACTAATATCTGTAAAGGTTTCTCAACAGCTGGAGGAAAATCGATTAAAGTATCAGATACAGCTTTACAAAAAGTTCAAACTATGTTAAAAGATGAACTGAATGAATCATCAACAGCAACTAAAGATATAATTAATACAAAGACTAATATCTGTAAAGGTTTCTCAACAGCTGGAGGAAAATCTATTAAAGTATCAGATACAGCTTTACAAAAAGTTCAAACTATGTTAAAAGATGAATTGAATGAATCATCAACAGCAACTAAAGATATAATTAATACAAAGACTAATATCTGTAAAGGTTTCTCAACAGCTGGAGGAAAATCTATTAAAGTATCAGATACAGCTTTACAAAAAGTTCAAACTATGTTAAAAGATGAATTAAATGAATCATCAACAATTTTTAAAGATACAACTAATACAAACTCTAACTTTTATGAACAACTATTGAATGCTGAAGGTAAATCTATTAAAGAATTTGACAAATCGTTACAAAATAATCAAGTAACATATAAAGATGATACACAATTATTTGATAGTTCATTAAAAATAATGGCCATTGCAAGTGATTGTAATAATTTTAACAAAGTCTCAAAATCAACCAACAATCCAAAAACTAAATCAAACTATTTTGAAACTGTAAAACACGAAGAAGAATGTACATTTGAAGATGATTTATCTTTAATTAACACAGTTGAAAAGTTTGAAAGGGATCAAGTTGTTTGTAAGCCAGTACTAAGAAATAAACGTCCAGGAAGTCCTATAAATAAATATGAAATTGATTATAAAATAAAAAAAACAGTACATAATGAAAGGTGGGAAATTGACGAGTTAAATGCTTCATTTAGTGATTACTTATCAAAAAAATTAAATGGACCTAAAATATTATTACCAGAAGTGGTTGATTGGGTCTTACCAAAAATATTTACTACGAAACAGGTATTTATTATGTATTAGTGTTTTAAGTAAAATATATTTTATTATCTAAAAATTTTTATATTTATATTAGTATGGAAGTACAATAGATGTATATATTATGAAACATTTTATTATTGATGAATTATTGTAGTATTAGCATATAATGTAAGGTATTTAATTGAATATAATATGTTTATTTTACTACACAGGTTGTATAATATTTATTATAAACTTTGCTTGATATTTTATTAAAATAATTAAGTCCATTATATTTATATCTATTTTGTTTTAATAATTATATTAATTAGTTATTTTAAAAATAATTTTAGTTTCCTGAGAATGGTGTTGCAAAAGAATTAATCAAATTGAATGTTGATAATGCTATAAATTTGAAGTTATATTGGGAAAAGTATGTTTTAATTTTCTTTAATTTTAAATTAAATATATTTTAATAACATATTTTTTTTACAGAAATTATAAATTACCTGATGGCCGTGAAAATAAAATGTACAATTTTCAAGATGTAAAATACTTTTTTTTATCACACAATTTTGTTGATTGCAAACTCATTCCTAATGGATGGATAGAAAACCATTTTCGTTTAATTGTGTGGAAATTAGCTGCTACTGAAATTTGTTTTCCTAATCATTTTGGAAACAAGTAAATATTTATATATATAATATATTGTGCTAAAGTTAAAGTTCTATTACCATCAATTTTTAGCCCACTTCTCTACTCATCTAAAATTTGAATATTTAAATACTTTTTATTTAATACTCAATATTTGTTATACAATTTTTAGGAAATTATTTCTGATTATTAAACAATAAATTTAAAGTTAATAAAAATACCGCTACTATACCACCTAAATAGCACCTAGTCAATAATTCTATCTTGTTTTCTTATCTTCTTAGCTATTTATTGAAAATATTAACACTAAGCATTTTATTTATAGACGATTTGCACTTAGCAGAATTAATCTTATGTTGTTAGTTAACATTAAAGTGAACTATTCAATTATCAAACTTCAATTTAAGAATATTTTATATTTTTGTATGTCAGCTTTTTTATTATTTTAAAAATTTTCTATAATTCATAAATTAAGCATACCATTATTTAACATTTTTATAAATATCATGTATTCTGTAGACTTTCAAATTGGTGTTTTTTTTTTGCTAATAGTTATGATTGTTTGTGTAATTTTTCTTATAATTTCCAAATCCTCAAAAACACTTTTGATATATTCATTATCTGGTGTAATGTTTTAGAATTATCTCTTAGTATTACTAAATGTAAAGCAATATTTTTTATTGCACTCAGTGACATATTTCGGATGATTCTTTGGGGATTTTCTAAAATATCCTTTAATGACCTGGTAAAATTTGAATAATTTCTGAATATTCCAGATAAACTGTAAGCTTAGCTTTAAAATATACCTTGAAACATGTATAAATAATTTAATCTTCAGAATAAAAAAAATCAAAATCATTAATGGAGGTTATATTACAAAATTATAATTATAATTATCCATTTAATAATATTAGTTGATTCTAATTAAAATTTGAGAAATTCCAAAATGAATTTTATTCAAGAGTTCAGGACATATTATATTGCTGTTTAATAATTCAAATAGGAATATAGCATCACTGTAGTTTCTTTGTGATGATAAAGATAGAATAGGTATTGTAGTTTTTTTTCTAAATTGGATAATGGTTAACCCGATTAAATTAATTTATGACTGATCATACACAGAAATTTTATTTAAACCTTATCAAATTATTAATTAAAGCTATTTTTATAGGGTTCTATACGATAGAGCCAAATTCTATAATTCAATGAACTAAGGCAAAATATAAAATGTTTAGACACTTCAGTTCCTTATTTCCGCATATTCATATTATGAATTTATAACCAGTGCTATAAAAATGTATTGTGATAATAGCTATTTTTATTTGGTACTTAATTATTTAAATTAAACATTTAATGATTTGAACATTTTTAGGTTATTAACTGCAAAAAATATAATACACCAACTATTATATAGATATTATAGAGAAATAGAAAAATGTCAAAGATCTGCATTAAAAAAGATACTTGAAAAAGATGAAACTACATCGAAAAGGATAGTTTTATGTGTTTCAAAAGTTAATAAAGTAAGTATGGTTAGTATTCTATGATATTTTACTGAACATATATTTATGAAACTAACAGCATTCCAATATTGAATAAATCTAGATAGTTTCACCTTTAAAGATATTTTAGTGTTATGTATTATCTTACAGTCGATATATTTAATTTAATTTTATAATTTTATAAAATCTCAAACATTTTCAAATCATTTTATTATTAGAAATTCATAGAAATGTGTATTTTTGTATAAAATATTTAAAAAATTTTATAAATTTTAGAAGTTCATATTTTTACAACATTGCATAATTACTTGTAAAGTAACTATTTCTCTTTAAACGATTTTTATTATTTTGTTGTAGTTTAAAAATGAGTAACCAAAGATACTTAAAATTTTGACCCAATGTTTATATAATAATTTTTTTTATATGATAAATTTTTCAAAAATGTTGACTTTTTTAAGTTATTGTAGATATTTTTAATTTAACATTTTTTTAGTTTTATTTCTTAAAATTTGGATAAAACATTTTTTGCTCAGTCAATCAGCTTAGAAATTTAATGCGACATCCCAAATAAGTTGATTTTATGATATGTAAAAATTTTGCCAATGAAATAATTATAACTTATTTTGTCATGCATTTGAACATCAAGCTTAGCAAAATAACATATTTAAAATATGAATAATGATATTTATTATTTTGTTATAATTAAAGAATATTGTTCATGAGAACATAACATTTTTATGTTTATTATTATATTTTATACATACAAATATTTATAAACCAATGTTTTTATAAAAATCATGTATCAACCTACTGTATTATCAATAGTAAAATAAATTACATTACCTAATAGTAATATCATAATATATGCCATACAATTTAGTTAGTATTTTAGGCTGATAGACCACATCCATTATAGTGATCTCACTTAACAACTACTGTACAGCAGAACAATACTCGCTCACCCACTGTTTTGAATATATTACTATTAGATATAATAGGTTGTTTTTTTTAATAAGTACCTATATATATTATTTAACATTTTGAGATATATGACTATTTTATAATTTAAATTTATTATGTATTCTTAAAATATTTTAGGCAAATTTAGCTGAAACGTATACTATTGAACTAACTGATGGCTGGTATAGTGTTCAAGGAATTATTGATGATGAGATGAATATGCTTTTACATAAAGGCATTGTAAAAGCTGGTACTAAACTAATAATATACAATGCAGAACTTATTGGTGCTGGAGAAGGAATTGACCCTTTAGATGTAAATATTTTATCTTTTTTAATAAATAATAATGTATATTTTTTCTTCAATGAACTTATTTACAGTAAAATTATTATTTGTGTAACACTCAAGTATACATCTTCATTCTGCCTATGATTTTTGTGGATACTAGTTTTTTTTTTTTTATTATAAAATTAAATTTTATTAACAAGTATTTAAGAGGACGTCGTACCCGCATATGTTGTCTCCGTCTTACAAATGCGTAACATGGCAAATAGTACTCTCAGAAGATCACGTTTAGCTCCTTCAGTTTGAAAATTAGAATGAATTGACCTCTTTTGAAATTTAAAAGTGAGATTATTATCTAGGGCATCTCATAGGCTTTTTATTATATTTTAATTTTAAAGCAAGTTTTGAGTATTTTAAAATTGTAAATTGCTTGCACGTCTTAAAACACACATAACTCGCTTTAAAATTAAAATATAATAAAAAGCCTATGAGATGCCCTAGACAATATTCTCACTTCTAAATTTCAAAAGAGGTCAATTCATTCTAATTTTCAAGCTGAAGGAGCTAAACGTGATCTTCTGAGAGTACTATTTGCCATGTTACGCATTTGTAAGAAGGAGACAACATATGCGGGTACGACGTCCTCTTAATCAAAAAATTATTTTATAGTCAATTATTATTGTACTGTTTTAATATTATATCATGTAATATTGATAAATTGAAATATCTTTAACTATAAGAATATTGAAATATTACATAATATTTATATTATGGTGTATAATCTTAAATATTGACATGCTAATACATTTAATTTAACAATTTAACAAAAATAAAACAATTGTTTAATTTCAATATTGTTAGTCAATAATTTCTTCAAAATTAAAATAAAATTTAAATGTTCTATTTTTTTTTCTGTGTATAAGGTTCACAATGATGTAAAACTTAAGATATCAACAAACAGCACACGAAGAGTACGCTGGCATACCAAATTAGGATTCCATAAATACTCTACATTGCCTATACCTATTACATTAGAATCAGTTCTACCACAAGGTGGAATAATAGGATCTCTTTCACTTGTGATACTTAGAAAGTACCCAATAATGTTTCTTGAAAAGAAAACAAATTCAAAATCTGGTACGTATACTGTTTGTAAAATAAATATGTACAGTGGTGATACCAACATTTTCTACATTTAAAACCAAACAATGCCCAATTATTGATGTTAGTTTGTTGAACCCTAAATTATTTTTGTATGATTCTTACAACCACTTACACTCAATTAATTTACTTAATAAAAAAATAAAAAAATACTTGATTAAAAAAATAATCTTATTATAATATGTATATGATTTCTCTAATAATTTTTTTATTTATTTATCTGGTGTTAAAAATGGGTTAGCCATGCTAAAAAATAATAAATCTATCGCTCTTGATATATATCATTAGTGGCGCTGCTGGGGGGAGGGAGATTAACGAGTCATAAGTTTAATTTGAAATAGTATATTTTTAATGTTTACAGATGATCTGAAGTTATTTTTAAAAATGTACCCTATAAATAACTGTCAGTTACTTCAAAACAACTTATGCGCATTAGGTGTTGAGCTGATAATTTAGGTTTAAACTTTTATTCATTCTATGAATTTTTACCGAGTTCATATTTCTATTAGGTTTAATTACTTATTAAAATACATCCCTTGACTTAGTTAATGTGATCAATGATCTTGGTATCACATTTGATTGGTAACTTAACTTCCACTACACATTGAACATTTTATTGTAATATTCTAAAGACTCTTGGTTTTATATGAAGATATTCAAATTTTACTACATGGTTTCCTGTAATTCTTATTATATCTCATGTTGATTTACTAAATGTTGACTCTTTAATTTCTCCCGATCATTATATGTTTTAGTATTTTTTTTAAAAACAAAGTCAATAATTAAAAATTAACTTAGATTTATCATGTCAATATCATATTATTCCTTATCTTAAAACTTATTGCCTTAATATTTACTACATATATAAATAATATAATCTTATTTTTGTCATATAATATAATTATTACTATAACTGTTATCAAATTAATTAAAATATTTATCATGTAATTGGACATTTACTTGATTATTTAAAAAAATAAATATTATAATATGATATATTTATATTTAAAACAAATGAAAATAAGATCCCAGCAAATATTTGTTAATAATTTTATATTATGGTATTTATAAGACAGATGTCAGACTTAAAAGTTTGATTGACACATTTGGCCTGCCATTTAATAATGAGTATAATTAAAAACTATATTAATTAATTAATTTAGTTTTTAGGAATGAGAAAATGGAAACTATTGAAGCAGAAAAATATAAAGCATACCAACAAAAGTCATTAGAAATAATTTCGAATAAGATAAAAACTGAGTTAATTGCTGAAATTGCTTCTAAAACTAGTGTATCAAAAAAATATATTTCAAGTTTGAAAAAAGAAAATTTAGATAAATTAAATGTAGATGAATTGAGCAATATTCTAGAAAATTCTACTGATCCACTGGAAATTCAAGTAATTTACTTAGCTTTAAATTATAATATTAATTTATGCAAATATTATACTTAAAAATTATTTATAGTCATTACTCAGTCAAGAAAAATTGGAAGCTCTTAAAGATTTTAAAAAATCAGAGCAAGAAAGATTCTATAATGAACTTCAAAATAGAGCCAATAGAGTGTTTAATGATCAATTTAAAGATGCTCGTAAAGTAATACCTATGATAAAGGTAAATAACATTTATGTTTATATTTTTTTTATGGGGCTTTGGACATTTATGTGTAAGTTACTACTTATTACTAAATAAATTGCTTGTATTCAATAATATAGATTAATATAGTAATTTTTACTTGACTAAAAATTAAATATTTTAATTAGAGACATACACAAAAAAAGTTTTGGGGGGTGTTTTTGAAAATCAGTTATTGAAAAGTAAAACTTTTTTTAATAAATATAGGAATTACACAATAGGTGTATTAGGAATTATCTCAGAGAAACTGTCTTAATAAATTATCAATCATTCCTAGACAATTAAATAAATTTAAAAATAATAATTAAGTTACTCCTTTACTACAACTTTTCACTCTAGATCTGTTTTATAACTTTTTATGATATTTATTCTTTATTATATACATTCTACAATGATTTCAAATCTTTTGTTTTCTAATAAAAATCTATAATATGCTTTGTATAAAACAAAAAAAAAAAAAATTATATTTTTGAATTCCATTATTATTAGTATTATATTTTCCATTACTATTTTTTAAGGGAAACTTAGTGCTCAAAGTATGATGTATTTGGGTGTATTACTTTAGATTAAATAAGCATCATAAAGAGATTTATTGCTTGGTATAACATCTAGACTATATTTTCTCATATCATGTTTTGATGTTTGCCACTTATGGGTTGTAAATCTTTAAGATTTAATGTAGTCTTTAACTATATAAATTTAAATTAAATGTTATTTTAAATTATAATTTTACCATTTTCTCAATAATGTATCTAAGCATAGTATAAATATACCAATGTTACTTAGAATTGTATTTTAAATGTCTGATTTATATCTTTACTTTTTATTCAAATTATATTTTTATCACATAACTGTCAATCATAGAATACTTTTTATTACTTAGTATTTACATGTTACTTTTAAAATTATAGTTACGTGTGGTTGATAAAAAGAATGTTTCTACTGGTTTTAAAGCTGCTTTACTTACAATTTGGAATCCTTCAGAGGATGTCAGTGATATCTTGAATAAATCTACTGAAGGACAATATTGTACATTCCAACATATTACTACTAATGGATTTATGTATGAAAACTTAAAATTTTTAAATAAATTAATATTGTATGGTAAATTGAACTTTAATAATTTTAATAATACTTTGTTTAGAAATGGTGAACTACAATTATCAACCAACAAAAATACTCGTTTTAATTTTCAAGGGTATACAGATGAGTATGTAAAACGTGATGTAGTAAATTTTAAAAATATTTGGTCTGGTACATTTTTACCACTTTTTGATGAATTAGATATTGTTGGTATTGTAGTATCAAATGTTATTAAAAATAATGCTTATAATGAAATCTATGTATCAGATAAAGAAATGAATATAATCAGTATTTTGTTCCGAGGCAATATTAAGGTAGCTTATTAACGCTAAAAATTATATTTATAAATTAAAATTTATTTTAATATCATTTAGGATTATGGATATGATGACATGATGCACCCTGGCAGTATAATATCGGGAATCAATATTAAATTTAAAGGATTCAATCATTTATCTTCTATGCCTAAGTTATATAATACAGAGCAATCTTTATTTACAACAAATCCTAAGACTGATTATATTTTGAATATTTTTGATGATTATAAAATATTTATGAAAAAGCCTGAAGTAAGTAGTATAAGAAATATAATTTTTTGTTTCACTTTGTAATAATAATAATATTATATAACCATATAAATATCTATGTTTAAATTGTTTAAAAATTATTGCATGTAGGTACACAATCTACAGAATAAGAGTAACTTTATATTTTATTTAGCACATACCTAGAAAAAAGATGTTTTAGATATCAAAACATATCATGACTATGTGTGTATAATTTTTAGCTAAACTGTATGTTTTTTATCTTGCTCAATATTTCTATTCTTTATTTTTAAACAGCATGAAGGCCATAAAAAAGTTGTTGAATACATTAACTGCATATCATATTTCAGTAGAGTTGTATGCTGAATTAGGATTTAAAAAATTAAAAAATTTAAATATCAATGAACAACTTACACGGTACACATGAAATAATATTGTAAACATGGTCATAGCTAGAATTTTAATCAGGGGGGAGAATTGATAACCTTTTTTTTTGCCTTTTTAATTTTCTAGTAAAGATTGTTACTTATTACATACGTTTAGAATGTAATTTGAAGTGCAGGGGATCAAATGCCCCCTTGCCCCACTCTTGCTACGTCCATACTTGTAAAAGACATAAAAACTAATAGTTTAATTGTAATGCTGACCAAATTATAATGCATCTTATAATATAGTAGATGATGCCAAATAGCTTAATACAGCATATGTGGACGTTGTTAATTGACTCCATTTGGTATTATCTACAGTTAATATGATAATAGGGTTTCTTTGCAGAAGTTTATTCAATAAACTAATCAAAAATAAAACAATAAATAATATATTTGAAAAAGTTTATCCATTTAAAAAAAAAATTGTCTTTAAACTTTGAATTTATAAATTGTTAGAAAATACAGGATTATTTTATGTATATGAATTAATAACGAGAATAAATGTATACTAATTTAAAATAATCAATTTACAGAATCAAGATTTTTTGGTATGCTGCCAAACTAAACTTAGTGAAATTTGTAATAGACATGGACAAACAATAACAATAAATAATGACCAATGTTTAAATAAATCAAGAAATACATTGCATAGGTCTTATGGTGAATTACCTGTCAAGGTTGTGAAAACTTCTAATACATCTCAATCTGAATTTTCTCCTGTTCAAAAAAGAATAAAATTGCTGAATGCTTATGGAAAAACACCACCATTAAATATTGTTCACACTAAACCTCCAAATAAAAAACTGTTGGGTCAATTTAAAACACCAACCCGATTATAAATTTATATATTATATAAGTTCAACTATTAATTTAAGTTAAAATAAGTTATTTATGTAATAAATGTTTTAATTATTTTATTTAAGAGCAGAAAATAACTAAATTATTATTTTTGTAGTTATTATACCATACTATATTATGTGTTATGTTGATTGAAATACAGTTATTTATAAATCAAATTTTTAAAATGAATGGAATATTAGTGAAATTGTTAAGGAAAAAAAATAACTAATAATAATACATTTTTTGGAACATTAAATTCATTCAAAAATTTAATAATTTTCTTGTGTGAATTAAGGATAAGTAAATGTGTTAAGAAAATGAAAGGGGAAAGTACTATACCATAGAATAATATCTTATACATATCTTTAGAATCATTTTTAAAAATAGTAATGAATTCTTTTGGTATGTCTAGAAACTACTTATTTATAGGTATCTACTACTTAATTAGTCTAACCAATAGGTATAGGTACCTATCTATTGTTATAGTTTAAATATTTTAGTACAAATTTAAATGAATGGACAAGGAATTACATGAGTTGAGAAGTAATTATATTATATTATTTTTTTTTTGCATTCATTATTTAATAGCTAAAAATAAATGTTAATATTAATTAATAATTGTATCTTTATAAGTTAAGTAAACACTTGTTTGAAATTTTATAATTTTTAGCTTAAATTTATGGTAGGCTTTATTATAGACTAAAGAAAAAATGAACCAATAACTAAAGTTTTCTCTTCGTTAAAGACTTTTGGTGAGTTTTTGATGTACTTACTTGGACCATTTGATCATTATAATATGCTTTATTGTTAGTAGGTATCATTGGGTAAATACATTGTATGTATCACACATTATACATGGTGCTAGCTCTTTACTGATGAAGTAGGCATGAGTTATGTGATTGTGGCTTTTTTTTGCCAAAGTGATGATTGTCTATTTATTATTTCCGTTCTTTTAATTCTAGCAGAATATTTAAGTTTTAAATAATATCTAATTTTTGGAGAGACGTAAATTTGGCCAATATTTCTGGAATTTCTGCCATTCTTGTTTTAATGTTTTATATTAAATAATCTGAGTGTTTCAGATGAAGTATTATTTTTTGTGGAAAGTATTAATGCGGTACGCTGCAGATTCTGCTTTTTCAATTCCAAGTAGGTACCTATCTCGACTTGTTATTAGAATCTACATAAATAATATTGGTGTAATAATTACACCAAAGAATTATTCTTATATGTACTACTACTCTCTATGGATATTTACCACGGACTGACTCACTAATATCTTAGTATTCAAGTAGAGAACACTCTGTCTCTGCTTTCTAGAGTTCATGAAGTAACATTTGGTTCAGTTCAATAATTTCTGAAGGCTTACACATTTAAAATATTTAAATTTCTTCGTATTTTGGCGTCAAATTTTATGATATCAGTATTTAATAATAAACGGGATAAACCATAGATTCAATTCAATATTGTGTTTATTATACCATGACATAAACTGTAATACATACAACGTCCATGATGTTTATTTAAAAAAACAGCTGTCTTGATTGATAATAAAAAATGGCTGATTGGAGGGAAAAAATATTTTGCTTATTGTTAACAGAATGGATTATGGGTAATGCTTAGATGCCCTAATGGACGTACTACTTGTTTAATGTTGCTCATCGCTTTTTCGGTTATTACTTTCTGTGTGCTTTAGCGCTTTGTGTTTTTCGCTGGAACTTAAAAATACATGTTTGGTGTTCCCGTAGGAAAAATCTAAGAGTTTTGTGTTAGTGTATTATAGTTCTATATTTGTATTGAATACTTATTTTTGAAATCGTTATTATTTAATTTCATTTGTTCATCGCATCGGACGTTTACTGATAAATTGCATTCCACCAACTGTTTATATTAGTATTTAAGGGTAAGCAGCAAATTACGTCAAATTTACTCACCGCAAGTATATTAACCCAAGCTAATGATTTGGCAAATTTTTTAGTTAATTATTTTGTATTAATTTTATTTTTAATATATGGTAGGTAATTAGATACTAGGTATTTCAAAATGTGTAAGTATAACCACGTTTGTACAATTAATTACCATTCGTCACATACAAACACTATTTTAATCTTTGAGATTTGTCAATAGTTTTCAATGTTCACAGTTATTTTTTTTTACATGGTTGGTATTTTTATTTATTTTTTTATCAATCTAATTATAAACAATTTTAAAGGACTATGCTTAGTATTGTTTTTTTATTCTTTTAATTGTTGATCGTACTTATCATTTATTACTATTTGTATAAGTGGTATTTAATGAAGATAACTTTTATACTAAGTATAATTTACATTGTGTATATTTTACTAAACTTATTTTTTTATTATTATTATTTCAATATTTTATACATTATATTTTGTGAATATACCTATTACTTATATTTTAGATTTCTCTATAATATTTATGTGTAAAAATATATTATATATATATTAATTATTTTGGTATATACTTAATATATATATATATATATATATATATATATAAATATTTATTGAAAATAATCATACAAACATCATTACTTAGCTTCTTACAAATGCCTTTTTAATTAAATATTCTGTGCATAATGCCATTAATTATAATTAATTATAAAAAAATGAAATCTTCCATAATATAGCATTCAAAAAATTAATTAATGATTTTTTGTATATCAAATTACAGTCTCAAGCTAATTAATAATTAAACACTATTATAGGTATCATATCTTCACATAAAAAAGCTAAAAAAAAAATTCTATATCCAAATAATATTTCATTAAAATCTTTTAGTTTAAAACTTTTCTGTATTCCGTTCCACAAGAGAACTAAACTGGTTGTCGCTGCATATCCTTACATAATATAATATATTCCTAAATATCAAAAAAAGAAATCCCTGTGTATATTTTAGCTGTAAATTAATTTCTTAATATTTGTCTACATGATTTATGTAAAAAATAAGATTAAACTGAAAGAATCATCTCAAAGTGTTTTTTTTTTCATTAATATTTCCTGCATATTTAGTCTTCATTATTTTTATTGTTCTGTGCATGTATAATAATGAATTTAACTAATTTGCTAAAAATAAGTACCTAGGTATCTATTATTTTAATAAGTAGTTATTTGGTGTTCAAAATAATTTACAACTCGTCTGCTAGATACTTATGTAAACTTAAATTATCTTAATAATTAACTATTTGATAAATATTAGTATTCTTTCATTTTATGTATTACAATATTCAAAATGTAAAATTATTTTTTATTGTCGATAACTAAAAGAATCACTGTGCAAATATAATACCTATACAGTAAAACCTCCTATAACACACACCTCCGAATAATAGACATTTTTATGGGTACATGGACATTTTCACTACTTTCATATAGGAAACCCCCTAAATACCGGACACTCTAAATAACAAATACTTTTATAGTAATTTAATCTAATCTTACTACTATGTATTATAAATTATTATACATTTATAGTTATCTTATCCATCCATTATCGCATCAATGATGTCATTTGTCTAAATTATGTTGTGTGAAGTTATCTTATTCATATTTAGTTGTATTTGTGATTCCATTGTATTCAAATGTGTTAGATTACAATACATCTAGGTCCTAAATGACCTAAAGTAACTGATTTTTTCAATTAATGTTAATTTTTATTTTAAAATTATTTTTGTTAATATTTTTACTTATTTTTTTCATACACTACATAATATGTACAATTAATATTTGTATTAAAATAATACAAATGTCATGATTATAAATATTATACGTATGCATATAAATTAATGAAGTGACCAAGATTTCACTATACTTGTTTTTTTTTTTTTTAGATATCAATAATAACATGGCTAAAGTACAACTGTCTAACGTAGTTGTTTTAGACAATCCATCTCCATTTTCAAACCCTTTTCAATTTGAACTCACGTTTGAATGTATTGAAGATTTAAATGAAGGTAATTTTAAGAAATAAACATGCCTATTTATTTGAGATAAATTTTTTATATGTTATGCTTTTTAGATTTGGAATGGAAAATGATTTATGTTGGGTCGGCTGAAAGTGAAGAACACGATCAAATATTAGATACTATTTATGTTGGACCTGTTCCTGAAGGAAGACATATGTTTGTTTTTGAGGTATAAATCTCATATTAATATTCAGTTTTCTAGATCTATAATAAATCATAAATATAAACATTTATATTTTTAGGCAAATCCTCCAGATGTTTCTAAAATTCCTGTAGAAGATGCTGTTGGTGTAACTGTTGTACTATTAACTTGTTGTTATCGTAATCAGGAATTTGTTAGAGTTGGATATTTTATTAACAATGAATATACAGATCCAGAGCTGCAAGAAAATCCTCCAAGTACACCTCAATTTGATAAGGTATAATAAAATATAAAAATATATTTATTATGTAGAAAAATTATTATAGACTGCAAAAGTGATTTAAATGTAAGAATTTTAATAAAATTTTAATTTAATATATTGAATATAATATTATAATGAAATGATAATTAAGTATATAAATATTCTATACAATTATAAGTCGTAGTTCTTTATTATCTATTAAAATTAAACTATTTTAAGACCTATTAAATCAAATACAGGAAAAACAGTGACAAGTAGGATAGTTGGTTTATTTGTATTGATTTCTGATGATTTAATTAATTATTAATACTATTTGAAAAATACTAAAGGTTTGTGATTAATTAGATATTTTTTTTTTAAATTTCTGAAAATCAAGTTATTAAAATTAAACTACTTTTTCATGGTACTCTATACTTTTTTACTATTAAAGGCAAATTTTTGTAGTAGAATTGCCCAGACACCTATAAATATAACTCTTTTTTCTCTTATTTTATTTTTATGCTCTTTCAGCTATATATTTTCTTTCTCATTTCTAAATTTCTATTATTTTTATGATGATATTTATCTCATTGAAGACTTATGCTGTAATTTCTTTCTTTATACACATGTTGTCTTATCAATCATACTAACCTTCATTTTTTCTAATTCAAATGTTTAGAATTTTTAAGCTTACTTTCAACTAGAAAATAAAAGTTATTTAGACAGTGAATAAACAATTATTAGTAGAGTAGATTTAAAAATGTTATTTTTAATATTTATGCAAATGTAGTCTTGAATATTTGAAACATGTCATATAGTTAAATAATAAAAATTATCTAATCATAAATATTATTGAAGTAAATGTTATTTAAATAAACTGATTTATTTACAGTAAACCACATCAATAAATAATAGTAATAAAACTGGAGCGATTCAATTTATTTCAACTGATAATAAATGAATGAATATTTGTTTTAAGTAATTTTATTATGTTATTATGGATAGATTTTTCTAATAGAAATTAACAACGATTCATTTTAAAGTAAAAATAACTGGCACATTTATTTACTCATTATTAATGTTTAAATTGTTTAACAATTGAACCTTAATAATGTGGATGGATTAAATCTTGTACATTATTTAAATAGCTGTCAAATACTTATAAAATCATGTAAGACATGTGTCTTATTTCATTTTAAAATTTAAACGTTATCTATATATTTCTATTATCTGTTATTTGAAAGTATTTTCCATATTTACTAAGTGATATTTATTTGTAAATGTCATGTATTCATATCATTATAAAACTTTGAAAAAACTAAATAAACAATTTTATTCTTTTTAGATGGTAAGAAATATATTGGGTACTGAACCTAGAGTAACAAGGTTTAAGATCAATTGGGATGACTCTGAACAACCTACTACTAGTAATGGAATACAATCTACCTGTCATGAAAATGAAGATTCAAATTTACAAGAAATGGATGAAGAAGTGTCTTCTTTGTTATCTTCCCATGCAGACAACAGCCTTAGTCAAAGTCCAATGGAAGTATTGTAAATTGACTGATCCAATATCTCATCTATTTTAATATCAATATTTTTTATAAGAAAAAAAAAATAAAAGAAGTGTTAATCGTATAATATAAAAGAAATTAATTTAAAGTTGAAATAAAATAAAGACGTTTTTTATTCAATTTGTTTAGTTTTTTTAAATAACTTCAGCCCTTTATTTTATATCTTAAATAAATTATTAAACACAATATAAAAAACAATATTGTATTAAAAAAAATTATATTTATACAGTACACGGGATAATTAATTTCATTATTTATAATTCATCTTTGACGTAAGAGGGTTTTAATTCTTCAACTCTTTTGATATAATCTGTCTTTTCTAAACAACCGTCACAAATTTCTCCCCAATTATCCAATATTTTCTTCAAATCTTTCACTTTCATTTTCTTTAAGTTGACTGTCTTCCAATCAATTTCTTTGTCTAAAATTAAATGAAATATGTATTAATGTTTGATTGATTATATAATTACCAGTAATCAAAGTCTTTGATTTATTACTAAAAAAAAAAAATGAACTTTTATCAACATACCAAATTTAATATCGCACACTTGAGCATCCATTTTCTTCAAGCGTTCACAGATTTTAAGTGCCGGCATAGACCATGATAAAGGTTTAGACATTTCACTTAATATACCAGTTGCAGAATCTTCAAGTCCGCCCAAATAATAACACTAAAATGTTGATTAATATTTCATTAAATAATGCGAATTAAGCATTTTAAATAATAAGATAGGATATTTGTGTTAAAATTTCTATGTAATAGAGAAAAATATACTAAAAAAGGCTTAATTTTAAATAATGTACTATCTTAATTTTTTGTTGATCAATTTATACATATAGTCACCAGAAAAGGAATTACTTATTAATGAAATTTTACTATAAATGACAATAGCTTCTTTTTTGGGATGACTGAGAGGATTCTTAAAGCTATCATTACTTGATGCCTACAATCAAATTTTGATATAATTGTAAGGAGTCTTAGCGATCATATTATTATAGAAAGTTTACATATAGAAATCATAATGATTAGTATGGTTTGTGATTAGATAGATGATTTTTGAACTTAACAGTCTATTAAATAATATTTAATAAAGCTGTTGGCAAAAAGTGCCACATTAAACTTTTTTACCACTGCTTATATCATACCCAAAATATATTTCCACAGAAAAATAAATAATACTTTTAAGGGATAAATAACTTGCTTTAATTTACTTTAGTTAGAAAATTAAATTTCAAATTGAGTACTCTACATCCAAAATGTTTGACTCATTTTATAAGGTAAACATATTATATTTTATTTGAACACCTACCAGTCTTTTTTCCTTATCAATCTTTGTAGTCAAACAATATTTTCTGAATTGTTCTTCGATATTCTTTGGACTTTTTTCACCTTCGAGTGATTTCGAAAACTTATCAATTGTACTGACACAAACTATAAATATAAATACAATTATAAATCATTATTTAACATTAATATATTCAAAATAATATTGATCGTTACTTACCAGGGCAATCTTCTTCAGTAAATGTTCGCGATTGCACTTGAAACACATTAACAATGAAAAACACACACACGAACAATATGTGTTTATCCATTGTTAAATAGGATTTTGTTACACAGTATTCAGAATTAGGCTAAGTTTCTTATTTTTATGAATAAACCAAATATATAAATAGATAAAGATACGGAGTCTTAATTATTTGATTAACTTAGTATTTTTTTAAATGTCGTGAACGAAAAATATTTGCAATTTTTATTGAAGCGGCAATGCATTCAAAAGACACATCACATATAATATAATATTTTGAACTTATCAAATACATATATAATAGTATCCTACAGTTTTAGCATATTATCCAAACACGACTTGGCGAAATCTCATTGGACAACATTCCGGTATGATTGAAGTATGGAACGCGCTCATTGTATTATACCGTATCAATACCGCAGAATTAATTCAGTGCAGACTACAAAATTTTCAAAATTTTTTTCTTTAGAAATTATCATTGTTAATGTATCCTTATTTTGATCTATTAACCACAATGAGAGGATTTTTGTTGTATTTATTAGGCACGAGATTTATGGTTGTATGCTAAAATTTGAAGTTTAGAACTGAGCAACAAACTTCAACTTTAGAATATGACAATTTAACCATCTGTTCAATGAACTCTGGTTATCACTTATCATTTCAGTTATGTCATAGACCATGGTTATCAGATATCAACACTTGATAATTATCAATTGGATAAAAATTTTATGAAAATTGGATTATTTAATATTTAGATTTCTTAATTCATTTCCAATTTCTTCATCCAATCATCCTTGAACGGCTTGAACCTCAATTCTTTCGTGTTCTGTTCGTAGTTTAAATTAATTTTAAATTGTGATTGTGTCTTCCCACTTCCTCAGTATTTTATATGAGATTTAATCCATACGAAAGATCAAAAAAATGTTCGACTAAAGTGAAATCTTTGTACTTAATAGTTATTATACGTTTATTTACCATTTATCTTATTTTTATTTATTAACTTTTAATTTGTCAAAATATGCGTTATCTAATTGTTTTTGGATAAGTCTAGACTAATTAAAGTTATTTTATCTTCTTAATCATAAACATTAATAAATAACATATTATTATGTCTTTTCTGTAAGTATACATTTTATGACAAATATTTGGCATACACATCACCCACATTTATCAAATATCAATTATCAATTAGACTGTGTTACAAGCCCATTTTTAATATTTTGTCATCATATTAATTTCATGGCTCTACTTAGAAATCCTTGATGTTATTATGATATAACAGTATGATCAAAGCTCTCCATTAGTTTTATTCTTATGGTACATGCTTATCTGGTTCTACCGCATCGTAAATTAAATAATTTCATCAAGTCTGTAGCTCTATTTTTATGCACATTTTTGTTGTTAATCATTGTATAACAAAAGTATTATAAAATAAATATTATGTCTTAAATTATCAAATTTGTTTTATTGTATTATTTATTTTTTTACGATGGATACTTAAAACAAAAATGTAGGTATATCAAAATATTCAATAGGTAAGTGAGGTAAATTATAAAAAAATCTAAACATGTAATAAAATAATACTTATATCAAGTTAAAAATTGTATGAATTAGTTTTCATGGGTTTTGTCCTAATTTGTACTAAGACGAGTGACAACCATACGAAAAATGTTCCTAGTTTCTGTTTAAAAAATTAAAACAACAACATTAGTGATAATCACTAATAAAATTTAAACTATATTATACAGTATAAAATTATTGACATAATATATGTCAATAGTTGAATTGAAAATTAGTCTGTAGCTTTTATTGTTAAATATTATAGTGAAATATAAACCCAATTAGTAGTGTATCTGTTCTAACACCCAAATTCCCTTATCTCTTTTATATATCTACTACTAACTTAAAAAGCAAACATATCATTAACATTTGAATAAAATAAAAAAATGTGTTTTAGGGTTGACAAGAAACGAAAAAAAAATACTCGTAAGCCAGTAGATAATGAGCACATTCAACATGCAGAGTTCATAAAAAATTGTCATCTAAGATTAAGATTAAACTCAATAAAAATAGGTGTTGACAAAGCATGGCAAAATCACTGCTCAGATGATTTGCTTCTAAAAGTAAAATAAATGTTTTGTATGCTTCAATACTTATTATTTTTTTTTATTTTATTACTCAAAAAATTACTTTGCACATTTAAAATTTGTTGGTAGTATTATTTATTTATATTATTTATTTCAGAATTATTCAAATACAATGCATAAGCTTGCTTCACAGTTTTGGGATACAAATAATAAGAACGACCCTTCAAGTTGTAGAATCTCATGGATTTCAAACAATGTATTAAAATATTTTCAAGAAGATTATTTACATGAAATTATCCGAGAAAAGTCTTTAGCTCAAAAATTTAATGTACTTTGGAACATTGATGATATAACCCATATACCTGAAAATCCTTTTTATTTACTTGATGTAGGAAGTTGTTATAATCCTTTTCAAAAGTATTCATTATATAAAGTGTTGCCTATCGATATAGCACCTGCTATAGAAAACGTTGTTAAATGTGATTTTCTTACAGTACCTCTGGATATAGAGTTAAATATTTTTGATAACGTTTGTCAAACGTTACCAATGTCTAATTTTGATATTGTTGTATTTTCTTTGTTTCTTGAATATTTTCCATCACCAAAACAAAGATATAAATGTTGTGAAAAAGCTTATAATGTTCTTAAACCAGGTGGTTTGTTAGTTATTGCAACCCCTGATTCTAGTCATGCATCATATAATTCCATAATAATGAAAAACTGGAAAATATCATTAAGTAATTTAGGATTTTGGCGTATCAAATATGAAAAACTTACTCATATACATTGTATGGTATTTAGAAAATGTTTATTGAAACAAATTCCCAGAAATTGGTTACATTCTTTAAATATTGTAAACAACATTGAAGATTTAATAACTATTCCACAAGACTCTAGAGATTATGATAAAATTAATGAAACATCAAAAACTATAGAACAGCGTGATGAAGATGATGATGTTGCTAACTTATTTTCTGAATTAGTTAATGTATAAGTAGTAACTAATAAGTATTGTTGAACATAATTTTGAATTTGTAAAATAATTATATTTTTTAAATTAGTTCAAATTGTATAACCTTGTTGTGTACTTCAATATTTAATATTAGTTTTAGACTTAATACTGTTTAACTAGAATTTCAAATTGGTTACTAATTCATTTAGATGGCCTCATAACTCTGTTAAATATTAAGTTCTCACATCCAGTGCCTTCCAACTTACATAGTCCTGGATCTTTACTCCCAATTTCCTTAAGTTATGCTGTATACCAGGGGTCGGCAACCCGCGGCCTGCAAAGCAATTTTTAATGGCCCGCACAAAGGTGTTTAATTTTTGTGTTTTACTTTTGTTCAATAACATTTTTCATATAATTTTCAATATTATATAATTCTTTTTCCTTTATAAATAAAATCTAATTTAACCGTTTCATAATAGAAATACAATTATAAGTATTATATCATTATATGTAATTTTTTTTTTTTAATGTGGCCCTTGATGAACAATTGAAAAAAAAATGGCCCGCGTGGTTAAAAAGGTTGTCGACCCCTGCTGTATACCATCAGTCCATCATTTTTTTTTTTTTTTTTGTCTCTTTCCTTCTGGTTACCAATCATTGCATAATTTCTCTAGTTTTGTCTATTTATCACTTTATATGTCTAAAACCACTATTGGTTATTACTTAATATCTATTTGTTTTCTAAATTCAGGAAATAATATATTTATTTTATGATCTAATAAAAAGGTTATTTATTCTGATGTTACAATTGTTACACTCCAATATTAAAAGTTAAACATACAACTGCAATCTTATTAGTTTCCTTATTGGAAATTGAAAATTACTGAAATCTGAAACTTGTGATAAAAACCCACAGACTATGGCTAACAGCTAACTGTGAAACATAATATAATGCCAATTAAATTATAAACAACTACAACAACAAAACCGAAGAAGTCTCCTTACTATATAGACATATTTTAGAATTCAAGTGCATCGCGTCATTAATTAGGCATAGAGCCTTGTGTAGGTCTATAGTATAGACCTACACAATGTAGGTAATACATATGTTAAATTTTAATTTAATAATAAAAAATGTTCTTAAGCGGAATATTTTATGTTACTATTACCTACCTATTAATTAATTTTTTTTTATAAGCATGTAATTCGACTGGTTGTACAAATTTTTTCCAAAAACAAATTGCATATATTATTAGGAAGCCAATACCATCGCACTACATATAGAATGGTATGAATGAGCTCCTGGTATAATTTATTCCGTATTACCGTATAAATACCAAGAGTGCACAGTTCTGCACGTGGTGCACAGATCCCAGCTGTGTATTTATTTTCACACCACCAGTTTGGATTGAAAATATTATCCTATGTTACACCACATTACATAAATATTTATAAAGTTATAATATAATAAATTATATCAACACGATAAAGGGAATAGAGATAATACTTTCCCTTAGGCATGCTATTATAAATAGGTAGCTATAACAATAATAGGTTGATATGTAGTAAATTTTATAACCAGTGCCGGATCAAAGAGGGGAGCTATATCCCCTCCCCCGTTAAAATTAAAGAGGCCACAATGTGTCCCATTTACTCAAATTTGTTTGAGTAAAAGGGCCTCACCAAAAATAGCGCTCTCCTTATATTATGACTATAATCCGGTCTTGTTTATAACAGTAGGTATTTATACTTTTATATTATACGATATGTTGTGATAATCGAACGTATTACCTATATTAAATAATTTAATACATTTACTGACTTTCTGTATCATAAACAATAGCTCATCGATACAGGTAATTAAAAAATAAATTAAAGCAATACCTACTTACATGATAGTTATTTTCCTTAAAAAAAATTAATACATGTTATACTTTAAATGTCATAAAATATAAAATGTAATAATAATATGTAATTTGTTGCACCAACACGATAGTTTTGTCTGTGGTAAAAAACGATGGTAAAGTGGCGATGATGATGTATTTATCCACGCATCATCGCATTTATCCACCATAAATTTACATACCTACCTACAAAAATACTGTATAGGTAGGTACCTACGATATGAAAATGAAACATATAAATAGTAGATACAGAATAGTAAGATTAAATTACAATGGTGTCATTTCATTTTTTAACAGAGAAGAACATAAGAATTAAGATTTAACCAGCTCATGCATGCGCAAAGGTAAGTACAATAAACTCAATAAAGTACTTAATCAAAAAAAAATCTCTTCACTGGATATCTAATTTCCACTTTTTATGTTATTACTTAATACTTATAGTTATTACAATGTTAAATCTTGATAGTTTTGTATGTATTATCATGGAAGAGAATAACCTAATTAAATTTAAAAATACACACAGAGAGCTAAATAATTTTAATAGTTGGGTACCTAGGTATCTAAGTAGGTACCTACTGTCATTTTAGATTTTTCCGTAAAGTTCACTAGTTCAGGTAGAAAAGAATTAAATTACAATACTAAAACTAACTAACTGTTAAAAATAGTACTGAAAAAATGAAAAATATAAAATACTTTCAGAAGTTTACAATAAACCAAAAACATTTAAGTGTTTTTTTTTTTTTTTGTTTTTGTTTTTATAATTTGTATTGCAACAGTTGATAAAAATACTACCGTTGAAATGAAAAATAAGGTAAATTAATACATTTTCATAAAATTAAAATTTATGTTGTATATATCAACAAATATACCAAAAAGTTTTTGTGATCGTATACCTACCATACGGCATACATAAATAGGTACCCACGTCATTCCGTTTCCGTTTGATAGGAAAATGTAAATACACAATAATAATTGTATTTAAGAATGTATGTTAGGTGTAACAATAACAAATTAAGTGCCATAGTAATAATAATAATAATATAATAATTAATATTATATAATTACATTTCTCACGCAACAGACTGCACACAGACTATTTACACAAAATTTTATGTAGGTACATGCAGCAAATTGCAAATGTGTCCGTGTATTCAAATTAAAAAACTATAAATATTAATTACTATTTTGTGACAATAATTTCCTAGTATCAACTCAAAACCTACTATCCTCAAAATTATAGTAATCTATAGTTATGTTTTTTAATCAAAAACCTGTCTACGGGACTGACATTGAATTGAGTCCCGCAAATATTTTTGGGTTATCGGAGTTGAGTCCGACCAATATTGTTAGGTTATTCGAGTTGAGTCCCTTTCTTTTATTGTAATAATAAAAATAAAGAGTCAATTAATTTAAAAATATTAAAAATAATAATAAATAAATGTAATTTTTACCTAAAGAATATTTTTTAATCGACAGTTATAAAAATTACTAAAAAAAAATTGAAAATTTGTCATACTTATAAATATTTCTAAAAGAGTTGAAATTTGTTGGAAATTTTATTATAATGTAGGTATTAAAAATAATAATTTGGAAATTTCAAGTAGGTATATACTTATCTTATTATTTTTGGAAATACAACAAAATATTAAAAATTATTTGAGGAGAAATAAGTATTTAAACATACACTTCATTTTTCACTCGTAATAATTTGATAATTAAGTAAGTATTAACTAATTGTGAGTCACTGGCTATATAGGTAGTCAAGACGTTTTATCTATCGGACTCAATTCAAAGGTATAAAGATAATAAGCTGGACTCAATTCAAACACATAAAAGTAGCATGGACTCAATTCAATATTACCCGGTCTACGGCTGGTTTTTTTAAATCAGATAAGGTGGGCATTCACCTTGTCAACCCCATCACAATACCTACGCCACTATTTAAGTACAATATAGATCATATTAGGTAGGTATGCAAAACAGAGTTACTTTATTTTAGTTTACAATATTGTAATATAATATTATGTTTATTTATATGTACCTATAATCATACTGATGAACAATCATCCGTTTCGACCGGAACGTACATGTATTTTCATGTTTTGAACTAAACCATACAAGTAAATAAAGGTCTTTCTAACGTCTGGTCTTAAACACGAACCAATACATTGCATGTCTACGTTAATCTAGCTATAGATATAATAATTATAATTTAATGAAAGGGTAAAGTCTACTTGTTCTAATTTTGATTACCTATATGATTATTGATAATTCATGTTAAATATCCACAAGGTTTAAATTGTTACATTTGAAATGAATAGTTTAATTAATAATATGTAATTCAATAGGACTAATAGGAGATTCTGAAACTACTTAGGTTCAAAACTACAATAGTGCAACATGATAACTAGTTGATAAGCGTATAAAACAATTTAGGTGATCAATTACAAACAGTAAATGGGTAGGTACTAGATACTACCTTTAAATTTCTTTTTTCTTTTTTAGTTAAAAAACAGCGCTTATTCATGTTTATACTTGAATTTTTAAACTTTTCATCATGAAAATACAATGGTATATCATTAAATAATTAACTAATAAATATGCCTACAAAGATAAAACATTTTTTCATAAATTTTACCAACGTGATTATTGGGCGTGTTGTATTATAATATAATTATATTTATATGTTTCTAAGAAAAATGTATTTTTCTACCATATTTGATTATTGCTTGAACTAATGATAATAAATACTATAATATTATAATATGGGCACACATTTTACTTGATGTCAAGCTTATTGCTTTAATAAAAATATCAATGTGACAATGTTTCCTCCTGGTTGGAGCCAAAGGATTAGATATTGATGTTCAATGACGTGCGCGAGAGGTGGAATTAGAGGCATTTTTTTATAAATCGATAAATGATTGATTGTTGTTTTTATAGTAGCCAGTTAAGTCAGTTTAATTGTTTAAATGAATTATTAAGAGGTTGGATAAATGAAACATATCAAGCGGTGTCTCAACTATCGGAATTAAATTTATAGACTCGTGGGATTGAAAATAATGTATATATTTATTGTACACAAGTATGTCGAACGAATAATAACACGTAGGTATAATAGTTATCAAACGAGACACGAGTCACGAGTGCACTGAAATTGTTTGTAGATATTCTCGAATTTTTAAGTGGGGACTAAAAAACAAACATAAATGACGCATCTATACTACAAACCTTCATGTTTTAATACAATTATTAATTAGTCCATAACTATGTCAAACGCCATGTTGGGCGTAATAGTACATGTTTAAGGTACCTAATCAAGTGTGCGAACGTGCAGAGATATAAATTCGATAATAGATTAAATTGTATTGACGAGCGATAATTGATGAAGAGGCCCGAGAAGAAAGAATAATCTAAAAAATAATTTTCTTTTTTTACTATGTTAAGCAACAAATACATTGTTTTTATAATTATATAGATTGTTTTATTTTATAGTTTCGTTTGATATCATTTTTTTTAATAAGA